CACCGAGTTAATCTAAATAATGCAAATCACTCCTTGATCGAGTGAAACCCCAAACAGTGTGAAAGTGTCCTCAGAAGCGAGCAAAGTTGAAGCATCGAGAGAAACATGTACTTTTACACACGTGTGAACTCGCTGAAACCTTCCTTCCTATTCATTCCTATCCGCGTGCGTCCATCTTCACCCGTCGTTTGTTTCACAGACTGAAGCCCTGCAGTTCATTTACAACCCTCAACGTTCCCTGGCTAAGTCATCTGCAGCCATGGTACAACGATGGAGTATTGCGTTGTCTGCCTATTCCTACGACATCCATCATCGCAGCGCGCAGCCCATTTCACATGCAGACTATCTATCACGCTACGCCATTTCAGAGGAGGCTTCTACGGCTGATTGTCTACTCACTCAATCGCTCCCGGTAGGCCGATCTGATCAAGTTCGCGAGACCAGGAAATATTACCACGCTATCATTTCCTGTGTTCGTCGAGGTTGGCGAGGTGATATCAAACGTCGATTTCCGGAATTCTATAAACGTCGTGAGGAAATTTCTGTGACATGTGATGGTATCTTAAGCTACAATGATCGCATCATCGTACCTCCGACATTACGTACTGCTGTCATAAAGGACTTACATTCCGGTCATCTTGGCATTGAAAAGATAAAATCTCTTGCTTGTCTCACATGCTGGTGGCCTGAATTGAATCACGATCTGAATTGAGTTGCAAAATCCTGTGCTGATTGTGTGCAAAAAACTCACAGACAGCCTTCGAAGTGGACTGCGTGGCCAGTATCTTCCGAGTCATGGCAAAGAATACACGTGGATTACTGTGGTCTATTCTTCAACAAGTATGACGCATTGGTGATCGTCGATTCCTACTCCCGTCGGTCAGAAGTGTACTTGACCACAACTCCCAGTTCAGAATTTACTATTCGAGCACTCGGGAAAACGTTCAGTACAGAAGGTGTCCCGCATGCTATTGTGACTGACAACGGAAGTCATTTTACTGCCAAGAAAGTTACCGATTGGTTGAACTGCGTGAGTTGTTGGCATGTTCTCACTCCACCCCGACATCCGCAATCCAATGGCGCAGCCGAAAACTTTGTGCGCACGCTGAAGAGTGCCATTGCTTCCTTGAATACCAGTACATTCGATGAATTGGACAGAGGCGTTGATAACTTTCTGATGCAATACCGTAACACAGTACATTCAACTACGGGACACAGTCTAGCAAAGCTGTTTAAGAGTCGAGTACCTCGAACAAATCTTCTACACTTCGAGTCTGCGGAAGTCGTGTATCATCGTGGTAACGATTTACGACCCTCCAGGAGCATTGTGCTAGACAATATGGGACAAAGAGTATGTCGCATATTCGATCTAGACGATGGCACTGTACATCGCAGACATGTAGACCAAGTAATTTGTAATTTGCCAATCCTGATACTAGTTGTGAACTTACTAATCCTTTTATTTCTGCGTCTTTTCCACAGGAATTACATCCCAGTACAAATGTTGAAAACAGTACAGAAGAACCCAGAAGATGTCAACGATTACTCAGCAGAGCCCACCGTGATTACAGAAAACCGGGGCATCATTCAAGCTGCGGCGGATGTGGTGATTGCTCATCAACTATGAACTCTTTTGTTTTATGGAACACGATAACCTTGTACATTCCGAATCTCCGCTCATTACAATTCCATGCCATCCCTGAGTTCTGTATTCCAAATACATTTCGAGTCGTAGTTCTGGGTTGGACTATAACTGAGCGGAATCAGATAAGCATAAGAAATACTAGTCCGAGTGCTAATCGTAACAATTGACGTCAGCTGTGAAAGTCTTCTGTTCGGCCAAAACAGTGTCTTGTTTCACGGAGAGAAGACGTTTGAATTCGGCCATGAGAGACTTCAGGTTCATATCTGGGTCTTGATCAAGTCTGGATAATAAACGGGTACGAATGTCGGCCGGCATCTTCTGGCTTCTGCAGTGCTCTGATGAAAATGAGGCACTTGAATTGGTCGTCGGTCAATGAGCGCAGTTTGAAACGTTCGCAGTCACGATTGACTCTGTCAGCAAGCATGCCATAATCCTCTCCATCCCGTTTAACAATTTTCACACACTCGTATCGGATACTGAACAATCAAGCTGCCTCACTAAAGATTTCTGATAATTGTGCCACCGCTTCATTAAATTTCAAATGCTTTGGTTGTTTGGGAAGAATGTGGTCACCAACTCTGGAGTGTTCTTTGGTTCCAAGTTTCCGGACCAGCAGGCGCACTTTCCACGTATCGTCTTGACAAGTGAGATCTGTTCGGAACACGTCTTCCCAACGTATGAACCACGCCTCGAAAGTGTGACCAGTTTCAGGATCATAGTTGAATTCAGTGATTGAATTTGCAAGCATTTCGGTAGAGCTAGAGAGGAATTAACGAGAAACTGATTCCGTTGTTTGCAGGTTGAGCCGCTGCGTCAATGATTCGATCAGTTTCAGTTGAGCCTCCATCTGCTTCTGCTGCTGCATCAAGAGGTGTTGGAATTGGTCCGCCTAAAAGCGCAGTGAAATGTTTCATTTTTCCTTTGCCATTTTGTTATGTGTAGTCGAACTATCACTGAGCCTGGTCTAACGGTGCGTCATATCCCAAGTATTTCAGTAAAAAGACAGTTGGAAAACAATGCGAGCCTGTCCTGGTATTACCAGCCAAAATGTGGTCCTGGTCCTGGTCCTGGTCCTGGTCCTGATCCTGGTCCTGGTCTTCCTTCAGTAAGGAATGAAACATGTGGTTTCTGTGGGTTCGCTCACTGTCTAGACATTTGTCCGGAATGGGAAATACGTGGGTGTCGATGGAGGACTTGCTAGAAATTAGGTCATCGTACTCTGCACTTTCACTCTGACGCCCACGGATCCAGTACGATGGAGAAAATGCCGACACGTTCACACGGTCGCGACTGATCCCAATCCCGTTCTGATTCATACAGTGAGAATTCTCAGCAGAAGGTGTCGCTTCTACTGACAGCTGTGATGAACAAAATCATTTACCCCTTTGCACATCTCACCCACACTGTACCGGCCGTACGGTCATCTGCATTTACCATGTCTCAGTTATCGATCGGCTCGATGGAAACTTCCATTGGATCTTTCGTTCTCTATTTCTTTTAAATTGTCCAGTATTCCGCCCTTCTGTGCCGTTATAAATAATTCACTCTATGTATTCCTTTCAACCACGTTCCTTTTGTCACTCGTTTCAAGGTAACGCTTTGCTCGGTACACGACGAAAATCAAACAACAGTAGTTTGACTGATCGTGTGGACCATTTAAAAGCCTTCCCGTTTGCTCTCCAGTACGCTTTGTTTGCTTTTACAGACAGAGCACAGAAATAGCATAATGGTCCTCCGGTTCCTTTGACATCAAACACCCATACGTAATGATTATTGTGTTCTCCTTAGTCTCCAAGTCCTCGTTTTGTCTTTCGTTCACCGAATATGATCAACATAATTTCAATCGCCTAGCGTGATCAGACCATCCTTTGAGTTTTTGTGTCTTGTGATGACGTATTCAGAATGCAACTGTGTTCATTCCCCGGATCGATTTGTGATTCACAATAGTCTCTTATGGATCACAAGAGTGAGTGGCTTCACTCTACGCTGCTTCAACGGTGTCTGTGTGTGTTTCTGTGTCTCAGTGTGGTAGGTGAACAACTTTGAAGCACATGTGCAAACAGAATGGAGTGTAATAGTGGTGCAATGCGCTGCAGAGATTGCTCTGTACGCCTGGTACTCATCAGAATAGAATAAGTGTTTCCTTTATCTACTAGCACAGATGCCAATCACACTGATCATTTTGTGTGTGTCTATTTTGCTCTCGCATGCAGTTACTGGTGAACAAATTACCAACTCCCAGTTAAATCCATCCAGGTAGTACGAATAACGACGATCTGTTTAATATAGGTTGATGCCCTTGTCTGTCATCTGTCATCATCAATAGGGAGAAGATGAGAGAAAATGATCGATGTGGAAGGTTACACCTATTTTTCTTGCCTTCTATTATATGGAGAATGGTGACTCATGACGTGCACGTTAGACTTCCATGTACAGTTATATAAGGTAGTTTTCGAGGAGATGGTTGTGACTGGTTTATCGGTGCGAAAGACAAGAATTGGTTATCTCATTCGAATTCTATTCTCAGCATAATTTAGTTTTCTCTAATATACAGTAAATCTATGGTGATTGTGAAATCTTCTTCTACACGAGTATGGAACAAAATGCACACAGATGGAAGCTTGATCACACCGGTAACCTACATCCCCGTCGGAATGCATACCGGAAGGAAGTTTGAACAGTTTTTTGTAGTACCCCGATTATACACAGTATTTCACGGTTAGTATAGCTGTTGTAACGTCTTGCCGAACTATCACTGAGCCTGGTCTAACGGTGCGTCATATCCCAAGTATTTCAGTAAAAAGACAGTTGGAAAACAATGCGAGCCTGTCCTGGTATTACCAGCCAAAATGTGGTCCTGGTCCTGGTCCTGGTCCTGGTCCTGATCCTGGTCCTGGTCTTCCTTCAGTAAGGAATGAAACATGTGGTTTCTGTGGGTTCGCTCACTGTCTAGACATTTGTCCGGAATGGGAAATACGTGGGTGTCGATGGAGGACTTGCTAGAAATTAGGTCATCGTACTCTGCACTTTCACTCTGACGCCCACGGATCCAGTACGATGGAGAAAATGCCGACACGTTCACACGGTCGCGACTGATCCCAATCCCGTTCTGATTCATACAGTGAGAATTCTCAGCAGAAGGTGTCGCTTCTACTGACAGCTGTGATGAACAAAATCATTTACCCCTTTGCACATCTCACCCACACTGTACCGGCCGTACGGTCATCTGCATTTACCATGTCTCAGTTATCGATCGGCTCGATGGAAACTTCCATTGGATCTTTCGTTCTCTATTTCTTTTAAATTGTCCAGTATTCCGCCCTTCTGTGCCGTTATAAATAATTCACTCTATGTATTCCTTTCAACCACGTTCCTTTTGTCACTCGTTTCAAGGTAACGCTTTGCTCGGTACACGACGAAAATCAAACAACAGTAGTTTGACTGATCGTGTGGACCATTTAAAAGCCTTCCCGTTTGCTCTCCAGTACGCTTTGTTTGCTTTTACAGACAGAGCACAGAAATAGCATAATGGTCCTCCGGTTCCTTTGACATCAAACACCCATACGTAATGATTATTGTGTTCTCCTTAGTCTCCAAGTCCTCGTTTTGTCTTTCGTTCACCGAATATGATCAACATAATTTCAATCGCCTAGCGTGATCAGACCATCCTTTGAGTTTTTGTGTCTTGTGATGACGTATTCAGAATGCAACTGTGTTCATTCCCCGGATCGATTTGTGATTCACAGTAGTCCATCTTATTTCGGAATGGGACTAATTTTTTTCCGGCCCCGGTCAAATCGATATGGGCGAATTTGTTTGGTATTTTCTGAGCCGAAGGCTGTCATGGAACTCTATCTATCTTTCTTTTTTCGACCGTCTGTTATAGTTTTTACCCGTTTCACATTGATTTCTCTTGATG